GTCCACTAATATTCGAAGAAAATCTAATTCCCCTTCAGACCAGAGGTTAAAAGGAAATCTTCTGCACAAAGGCCCGGCTTAATTTCCGGACCGAGACAGTACAAGAGCCGTACTCCTGACCGGGTTGTTTGAAGCTGTTCAAGTATCTTAAGTGCTGCTATAGGCTATACAGCTTGCACTCTAGACGGTATAGAAATGAAATACCTATGTATATGAGATATAAATGTATGACACATATCATACGAAGCTGCTGTCACCATGTTTTGTATTTATCAAAATATATTGTGTCTCTATTGCGCGTGCTTTATGCGGATCTCGTTTAAAATGTAAAACATGTTTATCTTCTTTGATTTTTGAATTGTCTTTATACGATGAACAACTTAAAAATGTTTCGTTTTGAAGCCACAAACTGTTGAACTCTCTATCCTTCTGATTTAGAAACAATTGATTCGTCATCAAGGTCATAGACATTATATAAATGAATGAAATAAAAATAAAAAAGTCTTTAATTTATAACTGAATTTTACAAACTACAAAAATATAAAATAAAAACAGTTATTATATATATATCTACGTAAGTAGGTAAGTATTATGATATATATATAGAATTTAATATTCTATATATATATCATAATACTTACCGTATTAATTTAATATTCTATAAATATATATAAATATATATATAGAATATTAAATTCTATATATATATTTATTTATTATTTTCGCTGAGCTTACTTTTAACCCAAAGGTTGACTGGGAGAAAATGCCATATGGCATTAAGTCCGCCTAATGTACCTTATTTTGTGTGCATTAAAGTGTAAATAAATAAATAAATAATATTTACTTCAGTTTGGTTTATGTTGTTAATTATATTATTATTTATCTATTTCATTATTATTATTATGGTATTCAGCAAGAACCCCGTGATGGGTAAAGGCGTCCTCCAATGTCCATATACATTATGAATTCAAATGTTCAACCCATCATCCTTTCAAATAGATCCTGCCTAACTATTAGACTGACAACAGATATCTCCAAAACCGTTTACCCTTCCAACTTATGTATAGTTCAATCATCAATTTTGTCCCATAATTTGCCCCTTTATCCCATGTAATTGGATCAGGAACTTTGCCAATTTAGTACCATCGAGAATTAAATTAAAATTCGGAAGACTTCTTCAATTAAATCGAAAGTTATTTATGTTCAAAAATTCTGCATGACGATCACTCAGTCAGTTCAAACAATTAAAACCTTTTAAGAAGTTATTCGACGGTTTGTTAAGTAATAGATTCTATTGGGTCAACTTGTGAGAGAATTTAAGAATCAACTTAGTGACTGTTACTTACTTAGGAATACTTTTTGACCCCAAAGTTATTTCGATAAACGAAAGGAGAATGCCCAAAAATTCATTGAGCAACCCAGAATCGATTATGAATTAATATGTGGCAAAGTAGAGTGCACATAATATAACCCAAAATCATTTTTTTTTTTCAATGAAACCGTCACCAAGTAATAAAAAAAACCTCCTTTAAAATATAATATATATTGTACACTTAGTAAGGAAAAACTTTCAGCATTTTCTTGCAATTCATTGATGATATTATAGACAATTTTGACAAAGAAATCAAGGTTAAGGTGCAAAAGGGAAAGTTATATTGCGATATGGGACCTAAGCTTTAGGGGTTTTACATAACATAACTTCGCGCTTTTTATCTTCGAAAGGGTGCAGAAGTGCATATTACGGCACTTAATGCCACTGTACAATTTACACCCACTTTTGTTTATGTTGTGAGTCCCATGTAATAGGGGGTAAGTATATTTTCATATACCGGGCACAATTCCAGACTCCGTGCTACTACTGAGTTTTTTTTTTAAAACTTTATGAGTTCTAAGTAACTATTTGGCACGGTTGGTGTGGTGGCTGGGAAACCGGCTGCCGCGCAACGTGTCGCGGGTTCAATTGCCGGAGCAACTCTTTGCGTGATCCACAAATTGTTGTTCTGGGTCTGGGTGTCAGGGTGTCATGTGTTTGTGAACTTGTATATTTGTAAACGTACTCACGACACAGGAGAAAATACTAGTGTGGGGAAACGTCGGACTTCGTGAGATTTTGAACTCTAGCATCTAGCATCCTTACTACCTCTATATAATATTATAAAGCGGAAAGTAAGTTTGTTTGTTTGTTTGTTTGTTCCGACTTCACGCCGTAACTACTAAACCGATTGCATTGAATTGCAGACGTAAAGTTAGTAGTCTGGATTAAATAATAGGGTACTTTTTATCCCGAAAAATTTTGATATTCCCGAGGGAAAACAAAAGTATTGGTATAGATGGCGCTGTATGTATTGGTATATGTCACATAGGCTACTTTTTATCCTTTTGTGACGCGAGTGACGCCGCGGGCAAAAGCTAGTTCTATATAAACTACATATTTATTTGCGTTACAATTAAGAAAATCATCTTGAAATGTAAGCCACAAATGTTCAATTACAACGAAAGTATTCCTCCCTCACGTTCGCTAAGGCTTCTCAGAATCCTGCCTCGAGTTTTTAGCTCATTAATTTTTGTTATTTCGAAAATTAAGTTGACTTCTCGACTTTATTACATTTTCGCCCTCATGAAGTTCGTGTAAGGTTGGTTTTCAGTTGTTTTCGTATTCTTCTGTACTTATTAGTCAAGTTGTACGGTTCGTTGGTCGAGTTACGAGAGTGACTTCAAAGGTTTGGGTTTGATTTTAGAGTCGAGAGAAACATTTCTTTTGTTATTCATATTTTTTATGGGATAAACCGGTAAACGAACAGGCGGATTACCTGATGGTAAGCAATCGGCGTCGCCCATGGACACCTAGAACACCAGAGGCGTTACAAGTACTAGCCTTTAGGGATTAGGAATTTGAGGATTGTTGGGATTCAGGGATTGGGAAAAGGGGGAAGCGTAATTGGGCCTCCGGTTACCTCACTCACAGGACTAAACATAACGCAAGTCTTGTTTCACGTCGGTCTTCTGTAAGGCCGTGGTATAACTCCGGTCGAGCCGGCCCATTCGTGCCGAAGCATGGCTTTCCCATACTTGGTTGATCTATCAATCTACGTTGAAAATCATCCCCTAAATTTGTTCAAACAAAAGTATTCTCTAAACATCGGAAATAAGGTCGATAATGTAGTTAGTGGAGAGCGGTCACCGGTGACCGCTTGGAGATATATAGGTCTAGCATTATGATTGAAGAAAAAGAAAATACTATATCTATACTATTTCTACGTCTAAAGGTAGTTGGGGTATGATATTACTGTTTATTGTTATTTATATAAAACTTTTCAGTTGGTTTAAAATCACCGCCGCACCTGAATGATACCTATATCATGAATTTTTCAGAAACAATAACTTGCATTAGAGTTTTTACTTTCAAATAAAGACTGTTGTTCTTCGTGTAAAAGGTTTTCAGTTTCAGGTGCTTTTTTCAGGTATTTTTATAATGTTTTATACATTGTTTGTCATACATGGGATTCTAAAAGCTTTTAGACCACAACATCTGCCAACCCCACTCTAGATAAATGTATATTATAGTAGTCAAATTATGGGTGGGTAACACTGATATTTACAAATTACTCATGTCAAAATTTATGTCAATTCCATATATTGATTTAGAGATTTATGGCACACATATAATGATCTCACATTAATATTATGAATGTTTGTCCGACAATCACCTTGAAACTACTGAACGGATTTTGATGGAATGGTATACAGGCTGGGTATGGGCTGACTTAGGTGATAGGATACTTTTTATCCCATTTATAAATGCTCCCATGGGATAAAACAGGATTGATATTCCACGCGGATGAAGTCGCGGGCAACAGCTAGTGTGTCTATATTCACAACAAGAAAGTCTTATTACAATTAAATCCACGATCACTGACTACAGACAATTTACAAATAATAAAAAAGAATTGCTCCGTGCCCGTCCTAAGTATCGAACCCACCGCCCGGCAGTAACCGACACCCTTCTCCTGACCTTTAGAAGTAACATCTCTATAAAACTTTCACTCGCAAAATTAAACTAATCCACCGCCACCCAAGCTGGTACTTCGAGCGAAAGAACCCGAAATAAACTAACAAAGAATATCTATTTATATTAAGAACATTTCCAACAAACAAACTTACAAAATATTCTTTGATATAAATACCTACTCAGTAACAGTATCTAAAACAATTTTATCGAGTCTATATTCATAGAACCCACCTCACATTTGAGAGTTAGGACTATTGAAAAAACATCAATGAATTTATAAATAAAAGCTTTCTGCAAAGTTCGCGTTTGATCTGAACACAACAGACGTCTATCTAATACGTCATAATATCGGCCAACTGTTGTTTTATCTCGACACAGACGAACAGACATTGTCCCCCGGCGGTGCCTATTCAATATGCATTATGCTAAACAGATGCGACGTCCCTTTGTTTACGGAAACGCGCCGTTTTGATAAATAAGCTCCGAGCTATTGGAAAACCGAGGACACCTCCAACCGATCTCACTGTCTCAAGCCGTACACTTCGCTCAAACACGCGCCGGAAACTCATTGTACTCCTGCGAATATTGCGGATCCGCTGTGTTTTCAAAAGTTTTAGCGTCGATATAGCGTACTGTTATGTTCACTGCGTGCGTCCCGATTTATTTTTACCTCAAAAGTAAACTCAAACGTTCTTGTATCTTGATTTATAGTGGCCTCGTAAATACTGCTCAACATGATTCACGATGACACAAAAATATTTTAACGATGGGTTTTTTAACCTAATTTTATTCCCAACACGGTGCGACTCCGAGACTCCTTGTTCTTCCGCGTTAGTCTTACGCAAAATTCTCTCCATCGCAGCACTGACAAGTGGTCGCAGGAGGCGAGCCGGCCGCCTGCCAAGTTTTCCGTTTCGAAGTCGAATTAAAAAAAGATGTTACACTAACTTTCGCGCGTGTAAATATAGTTGAGGGTGAACGAACGTGTTCACTAGCACTGACCTCCTTTCTGCGTGATGTTGAACGTGCGGAGTCGGTACGAGTCCTCGTCGGGCTCCTCCTCGGGCTGGTGCGGCGCATTCCTGGGTACATCCAGGAAAGCGTTGGAGCGCCGCGGCTGATTGTGCTGGCCGGGTGGCGGGCGGCGGCGGGCCGAGGCCTGCCTGCGGACCTGAGGCGGAGTCTCAGCCTCAGCAAGGCGAGGCTCCGAGCTGTACCGGGTCCTGGTCTCTCTGTCCAGTTGTTGCTGCTGCTGTTGCTGGCGTCGTTGCCTCACGGAGCGACCGCCAGTAATCCTGGCAGATTGGGACCGCGCAGCAGGCCTCCGGCGAGGCGCTGGCGTGGTCTCCATGGGAGCTGCAAGAGCTTCCATACTCGCGGAGGCGGGAGCGCATATCGACTGCGAGCGCTTCGTACGTCCGTCCGTAGCCATGGTCGCGACGATACTGAAGCGTCGAGTGGTGTCGGGCGCCGTCGGCTCCCTCCGCACCGCTGCCGCTGGGCGGGCGGGAACTTGTTGCATCGCGGATTATAAGATTAGTGCTCTTTTAAATGTCACTAATTGTCTGTTGTTTTTATGAATGGTTACAGAAGTGGTTTCAGTGTGTAAATATAAAAGTTGTGTATTGTTTGCGGTCGCCGGTCGATTTGTTTAACACACAAAGTTTATTCAGTGGGTAGGCAACTTTCTGAATCACTGAGCTGAGCTTGTTAGGCCATTAGATACCTACGTTTATTGATTTACACCTTTATTTAGTTACGGTTTTCTTCAGTGTGGAAAGAAAATTCCAATCGGTTGTAAAATTTATAACAACTGTGTTTAAAGTCGAGAGATTTAGAGAAGTGTATTGTTCAGATGAATTGCAGTAGAATTTTCTGCTTCATTTCAAACCGTTTGATACTGGCTACTGGCAGTGGTTTATGGACTGCGTTGAGTTATGAGGTGGATAGCCCGGTAGTAATGGCGCTTACGAACGTAGGTCATGGGTTCGAGCCAATATCTTATTTGTTTTCTTTGTAACTAAGAAAATAGAATTGTATTGTGAAGAACGAGTGCAGTTTAACAGTGCACGTATATACAGATACATCCATATTATTTACTAGTTGGACCTAACAATCCTGCTCATATTATAAATGAGAATGTTTGTGTGTTTGTTTGTTATTCCTTCACTTCAAAACTGCTAAAGCGGTCGCGATGAAACCTGGAACAGGAGTAGATTATAGTCCAGAAAAACACACAGGCCACTTTTTAACCCAGCAGAAGCTAGTCTAAGAATAAAAAAAACTAATAACTTAGGTACTAGCTATTGCCCGCGACTTCGTCCGCGTAGAATGTGATTTGTGTTTCATCCCAGTTTCCAATGGAAGCATTTAATCGAAATAAAACGCATCCTATCACCTAAGTCAGCCCATACCCAGCCTGTATACCATGCATCAAAATCCGTTCAGTAATTTCAGGGTGATTGACGGACAAACATACAAACAAAGAAACTTTCACATTTATATATACCTAATACTAGCTACTTCTACATACCTACGACCGCGGGTCGAATAGGAGTAATGATGAATTTATCCCAATACACAAGACTAGCTACTTCCGCTGCTCAGCTCCTATTGGTCGTAGCGTGATGTTTTATAGCATATAGCCATCCTCGATAAATTTTTTTTTTAAAAAAACGTTGCCCCACACTAGGATTTTCTCCTGTATTGTGGGTGCGTTTACAAACATACAAGTTCACATACACATCACACCCAGACCCGAAACAACAATTTGTGGATCACACAAACTGTTGTTCCGTGCGGGAATCGAACCCGCGACACGTTGCACGGCAGCCAGTTGCCCAGCCACCGCACCAACTGTGCAGTCATGCGCTATCCAACATAAAAAGAATTATTCAAATCAGACGTGTAGTTACGGAGATTAGCGCGTTCAAACAAACAAACAAGAAAACAAACTCTTCCGCTTTATTTAAACTGTCAAACACCAAGCGGTCACCGGTGACCGCGACCTATTGTTCTTTAATTGTGTCTATAAAACCGGTACTCGACGAGTTAATAGTATAAGATTAGTGTGATCTACATAAACTTGAAAGTTACACACCAACAGTTTTATAAAGCCTTACAACCACCCAGTGTAAGTGTCGAGTCAGTACAAAATGGAGTTGGTAATATATGGTAATCCAACTATCCGTCACTTGTTAATTCAGTTCAGGGGAGACAATCATTGATTGAATCAAACGCGGGCAGGGTAGAGATGTGGACTGTGTACTGTTTTGTATATTATATTGTAACATAACATAATATCACGCCTTTCAACCCCCGAGGAGTATGCAGAGGTGAACATTACAGCACTTAATGCCACTTGTACAATGCAACACCCACTTTTCACTATTTATGTTATGAGCCTCATGTAATAGGGGGAGCCTATTGCCATATACTGGGTACAATTCCAGGCTCCGTGCTACTTTCTAGTTTTATCTTTTTTAACCAACTTATAAAAGAAGGTTGACGATCTCCGGCCACCGTAAGCGCGGGCTTGCGGACGGCGAGCTTGGGTAGCTCGCCGCCCGACCAGAACCAGACCCGAGCGCACGGCGCGTCGCGTTCAGCACCACGGATGGGGCCCAATAGGGCTGATGCCGATTCTGAGTCGCGGAGAACCTAACGGGTAACCGGGGCTCCGGCTCGACGTGCAGGAGAAGGAACGGGGTGGTTTTTAGTCAGTAATAGTCTGACACTCCCTCCCGCCTAACCCGGGCGGGAGAAGTCATTCTATGATTTATTATTTTAGAAATATGTTAGTCACACTTAGGAGAAGGTTTTAGGACATCAATCAGCCGACTTCAAAAAAGAGGGTTCGGAGTCGGCTTTTAAACATGGTTAAGGTACAAAAAAATATTTATATCTATTACAAAAAACATTGAGACATTCAGATCACATCCCTATACCTGTCTCCTAACATTTACGTAATTGGTCAAGATCGAGTCATATTATGTATCTCCATCACGTACACACGGCATCACATAAACCTATACACAACCAGTTTATCATAGTCTAGCTTTATATGATCTCTCCGTACAATTAACGGTCAGGATATACTGGTTTTTCGTAGCTATATGTGTGTGTACACAAATGGCCCTGTTTGCTGAAAAAGATTAATAGTGCCTTCGACCGGTTGAATCCGGATTCGGATTCGATGCAAAAAGAGTTATGTGGGGATATTTGTATTATGGTAACTATGGCACAGATGTTATTGAGGTGCCTCGAACATTTTATGTACTAGGTCTTTGCTCACGGTTTCGCCTGAAGGGGTAGGCAGAGGTGGACATTACGGTACTTATACCCATTTTTCACTATTTATGTCTTGAGTCCCATGTAATAGGGGGTGAGCCTATTGTCATATACTGCGCACAATTCAAGACTACGTGCTACTATTGATTTTATTTTAAAAACCCAGTAGTACTTTGCCCGACCCGAGAATCGAACCGGAGACCGCTTGACCGGCGTCGTACTTGTGACCACTCGGAATGTTGTTAGTAACTAGCTATTGATATGGGGCCATAGTATGTTATTACACCATCGTAGGAAAATAGTATAACAGTGATTGCATAATTGTAGATTTATCATTAAATAAAACTTGTCAAAATCAACAATTATAAAATTAATATTGTTGAATTTTACAACTATTGTAATGGCCGGCTAAGACCACAGTTAAAGTTGAAATTCAGTTAAATACAAATTAGGTACAAAGTGAAAAATAATAAATAGGTACCTCAGTCATTATTATCTACAATTCACTTCAAGAAAAATTGAGATGCTAAAAAAACTAACAATATAAAATTAATAAACAAATATCAATCGTGTGGCATCTAAAAATCTAATTTCAAAAGAAACTTTTAATAACATGCAATAAAGTCCCTTTTAAAAACTCACATCTCTAAATTAAAAGTACAATGAAGGAGTTTCGTTGATACTCGTTGATAAACTAGCTGCCATCTTGGATCATGGCGAGGACGCCCCGCCCCCTTATTAGGTCAGGCCCTTCATTAATTGTCGACCGTGCAACTTCTCTTGAAAGGAACAGCTCAGCAATTAACAAGGCTGCTTCAGTCCTAGAAGTCCTAATTGGAGATTTAATATTTAAATAGAGTATTTTTAAATCTGACTGATGAATAGAAATAAAAAAAAAATAGAGAGCAGCATTGAGGTAATCTGTTTTACTTTACACTACTTTTAACCGATCAAAATAAAAAGAGGAGGTTCTCATGTTTACCTATAGTCGCATCAGTCATACCTTATTTTGGTTATAAATCCGAAAATCTTCTGATAAATTTCAACAGTCGCGATGCTAGGTTGCTTAACTTCGCGATTCTCAGATTCAATTTTCTCTGGATATTTAACAACACACAAACACTACACCATAGATTCTAGATTTTATATTTCGAGTTTAGTTATAAAACATAGAATAAAATCCTATGCCGGAGCAAAATAAAAAAGCCTACAATCCAACTAGACCAATTTAAAACTAAAAATTTTTAACTACATTCCAACAACTGTTATAAAAATAAACGTATATGTACAAATGAAATACGTAGATAACTACCGGCCATGCATTGTTTTGCACGATAGTACATGGAAAAAATAAAAGGTTTCTCGCAAAAATTTTAATTCGTATACTCTCGTACAATTCAACGGTGCACACCGGTGATTTGAATTTCGAAGTATCGGAACATTTATGGGAAATTTGAAGTGGAAAAAATATAAAACAATGGCTGGAATAAAATTTTGTTTTTATGCGACTGTTTGATTTTTATCAACCGACTTTAAAAAAAGGAGTTCTCAATTCGACTGTATTTTTTATACTTTTGAGTTTGTTTGTCCACCAACTGCTTTGAATGCTCGTGCTTCCAATGCTTCTGCTGCCAATTGTTCTGCCACTAGGCAGAAGCATGGACTTTCAGGCCAGGACCTGAAGAGTTTAGTGGTCATATCATCACTTACACTCAAAAGAGTAACGAATGGAGTTTCTTGCTCGTTCTTCTCCATTCGAATCTAGAGGTACATTTTGGAATGAGCACGTAGCTTCACGGACGGACTGACTGGCAGATTATTATTTATTTTGTATTAGTTGACATTTCAAAAGTACCAAATTATGGTTTAATTGAAATAAATGTAAATGCTTTGACTTCGTATACCACAAACTCCTGGATCAACAAGACAACCTACATTGTCCAAACAATTTATTTTATCGATCTAAAACATTTTGCCTTTTCACGGCTCACACACACACACACACACGCACACACACTAGCTACTCATATAACCAATGACCATTTATTACATGTTCACATTACAGGATACATCCCTCATCATTTTTGACCCTCCCACTCCATTCCCGGTGCCTAAACCACTTTATCATGTCACTCTAAAAGATAATTCGGATAGATATAATATTTTAGATACACTACCTAAGTACCTATCTAATAAAGGAGGTATTATTGTATCTAGTTACAAAAAAGATCA